GATAGATCTGGAATGAAACGTGCAGGTGGAGAGGACAGTCAGATTAAGATGAAAGGGAGACTGGAATAAGGTAAAAGAGAGTGGGAGATAAGAAACAGGGTTTGTACAATGGCAACCAACTATCAAAATCATTGGGACAGAGTATATGAGAGGACAGGAGTATGCTAATGATTGAGGAATGAGTCCAGGTAGAATATTAGTGGCTGGGGAGAGATCTGTTGAGGAGGGCAGGTGATTAGACTTGTTCAAGGCCCTCCATCAAGGTCCAACCTCACGTCAGGTGGTGATGCAGTGTCCTGTAAAGTCCGGAGGGCCCACTTCATAGCAGGAGAGATAGGCAATGGCATGGCCCCTGGGAAATCTGAACAGGAGGAAGGTCCTAACAGTTTAAGGTAAGTCTAGTCTGGGAATGGTTTCCAGAACTCTGGAGAAAATTCCTGATATGAAGACAGATGATGGGAGGTAAGTAGGATCTGGGACTGACATGGAGCTCATTGACCCTGGGTCAAAGAGATCAGCAGGTAATCTGGATCTAGGGCTGAGCTATTCTAACATACCTGAAAAATGGTCATCCAACCTCTGTTAGAAGACCTCCAAGGAAAGAAGAACCCATCACCATCCTTTTTTTTTCTCTGCCAAATCACACAGCTGACATAGTGAGCTAACAGTCCCTTAAAACCTCTAGTATCTTTTTCAGACAAATCATTGTCTAAATATGCCTCCCCTTTGTTGGCATTTGTGAAGTTAACCTTTTGAACTCAGATATGAGTTTATATTTTTTCTTGTTGAATTTCATCTTAGATTCAGTTCAGTGCTCTAGACCCATCAAGATCTTTTGGGATCCTGGTGCTATCATCCTTTGTGCAAACACCACCAAGTTCTAGGTCAGGGGTGGGGAACCTGAATCTAGATGTGTTCTGTGAAATTTGGATTCAATCAAAGGGCTGCACTTGAGGATCTAAAGGGCCACATGTGGCCTCGAGGCCGCAGGTTCTTCACCCCCTGCTCTAGGTCATTTGCAGATTTGATGAGCATGCCATATAAGCCTTCATTTAAATTAATGACAAAATTGTTAAGTAGCACAGGGCCAAGCATAGATCCCTGTGATACTCATTGGATACCTGCCAATTTGACAATGAACCATTAATTTCTATTCTTTTTAGGGTGACTATTCAACCAGTTCCAAACCATCTCATTATATCTTAGTCTAGTCTATATCTCCATCTTGTCGACAAGAAGGACATGACAGACTTTATCATGTGCTTTGCTAAAAATCTAAGTAAACTATATCTACAACATTCTTTTGATATACCAATTTAGTAACTGTTAAAAAGTTTTAAAAAGTTCATTCTAGCATGACCTGGTCTTGCTGAAACCATGCTGGCATTTTTCAATAACTTCCCTTTTTTGATGTTCAGTGACCATTTCTTTAATGATTCTTCCTAGAATTTTCCCAGGAATTTAAGTAAAGATCACTACCCTATAGTTAGTGAAAACTCTTTTTTGAAAATCAGGACATTTGCCCTTCTCTGTACCTACTGTACTTCTATTTTCCATAATCTTTCAAATATTATTAATGATGGCTCAGCAATCACATGTGTAAGTTCTTTTAGTACCTGAGAATATAGTTACCTAAGGATACAGTTCACCTAGGTCAGGTGACTTTAATTCATCAAGAGTAAAACTAGCTGGGGGCAGCTAGGTGGCACAGTGGATAGAGCACCAGCCCTGGAGTCAGGGTGACCTGAGCTCAAATTCAGCTTCAGACTTACTAGCTGTGGGGCTGCCCCTGGGCAAGTCACTTAACTCAGATTCCCTCAAAAACCAACCAAACAAAAAAGAGTAAAACTAGTTGGGATCTTACTTTTTTCTTTTTTATCATGGGTATCAACTCCCTGTTAAGCTTTTTTGTTTTGTTATTTCCAGTGCTTTTATCTGAATATGCAAGAACATTTTAAGTAGAAGAAACATGGACTAAGACATGGAAAAGGTCTAGTTTGGTTGGGGCATAGAGAATATTAGGGTGAGTGGGAAGAGTAAGGTAAAGTATAGTGATTGGTAAAACAATGTGATTCAATGGAAAGATTGTGCAATTTGTAGTCAAATGATTACTCAAGAATCAATTAGGGGTTCTTAATCTTTTCCTGTGTCATGCACCCCTTCTCAGAATATTTTTTAAAGTGAATATCATAAAATATATAGGATTACAAAAGAAACTAATTATATTGAAATCAACATCTTTTTGGTTTTTTGCCCAGATAAGTTTATGTGCTTCCGGAAATGCATCCACGGACCTCTTTGGGACTCTGTGCACCCCAGATTAAGAACCCCTGTGCCATGTATGTGCTAGGCACCAGAGATACAAAAGCAAAAATAAAAGTCTCTGTCCTCAAGGAGTTTACATTGTATCAGGAGAGACAACAATTTATATAAATAAGTATATACAATAAATATAAAATCAACAATGTAATTTTATGGGAGAAAGAGTACTAATGGTTGGAGGGATCAGAAAAGGATTTCATGTAGCAGGGTGGCACTTGCGCAGAGTTTTGAAAGAGACAAGGGATTCTATGGGGCAGAGCTGAGGAGGAAGCACATTCTAGGCATTCTAGAAAGCTAATGCAAATGTACAAAAATGGCAGATGGAATATCTTGTGCAAGGAACAGCAAAAGAGCCAGTTTATCTGGACCATAATGCATGGGAAAGGAATATATAAAGTTGGAAAAGTAGATTGAAGCTAGTATGTGAAGGGCTTTTAAAGCCAGACAGAAGAACTTATATTGGATTTGGCACTAAAGTTTGTTGAATAGAGGAGTGAAATAGGTTCAAGTCTTAGCTTTGATGTTAGCTGTGTGACCTTCAACAAGTGAATTCACATCTCTGAGCATTAGTTTTCTCCTCTGTAAAATTGGAAGATTATACATTTCCTATTTCACAGGGTCATGAGAAAAGTACTCTGTAAACCTTAAAGGTGTTGGCAATGTGTGATTTTTGTTAGATTGTGGAGGACCTTGAATGCCAGACTGAGTTTATTCTGTAGTGGGATTATAGATTCCAAGTTGAAAGGGATCTTAGAAGTCATCTAACCCAACCTTCTTGTTTAAGAGATGAGGCACCTAAGGCCCCAAGAAATTATGTAACTTATTCAAGGTCATACAGGTAGTGTGTAGAGGTGGAATTGATCTCCAGTCCTCTGACTCCAAATCCAGAACTTTTTCCAGTTTATGAAGGCATTTTTTTTTTCAAATTGGAAAAGTGAAATTAGATCTATGTATTGGGAGGATAAATAAGCAACAATATGAGGCAGGATTTTCAATGGAGGGGATAGAAAGAAGACAAAATGAGGTGGGAAGACTGTCCTGGACGTTATTTCAATAGGATTTAGGCAAGAGGCAGTGGAGCACTGAACTAGAGTGAGGGTAGAGGAATGAGAAGTGGTGGTTGTCTGGGTATAAGATGGTGAAAAGCATACCTGTTTACTGGATACAGTATAAAGGCTCTGGCATGGTGACTACTGAATATTTATAGAACACTATTAAGTACAAAATACCCTTTGGTAGCTGGTAATAACAGTTTTGTGCTACTGTCTTTCCCTATGGGGAAAAAAAAAAGCTTACAGGGCCCACTACTTAGTATAATGTGTAGATAATTAATCAAACAGTGCCCCCTTTAGTTTGGAACTAGGTGCACAAGCATCTTCTCAGTCCTTGGAATTTTTCTTAGCTTGCCCCTTCTTTGGAACACAAGAGAGTGTATGTGAGATAGTTTGATGTAAGCTCTATATACTGATTGGCTAGGTCAAAATAATGCCTTAGCACCAGCAGTAGAAATAAATTCCTTACTTGGGTCTTAGGTTATGTAGCCTTATGATTGCTAGGAGTTTGGAGTACTATCCCTTCATCTGCCCAAAGGGTGTTTAGTCCTTAGATTTCTGTGCTGTCCTGGTCTGGGATGTCAGTGATAATTTTTATTTAAATTGGGAAATGGGATTATTACTGATTTTTGTTGAGGAAAATGTGCTAATTAAATATACCATCAAGGGTGACATTGACTGACCTGCCATCAGTAAATTATTTGAATTCTTTCTTGCCCTAGCAGTTGGTAATGGACCAGGAGTTATCCACTCATACCTTTTCTTGCTCTTAATTGTGGGCAAAAGGCGGATTGGGTGATGGGTGTATAGTGTGCGTCCAGGTACTGCTAGTTAGCCTGCTTAGGTGGACTTTCTTATAGAATTGCACTTGAACCAGCAGAGCAAATAAGCCTGGCACATTAGGCTTAGAAGTGAGAAACATAAAGTACCAGGCTTTTAGAGGAGAAATTTGCTCTTTGAGTATGTCTTACATACTTCAGGGATTGAAGCTGGACAGACAGGAGGATCCCTAGCTATGAGTGATGCCATTGTAATTATAGCACATTTGTTTAACGCTTTTAGGTTCGCAAAGTGCTTTGCATATATTGTTTCATTTGATCCCTCCAACAATCCTGTGAGGTAGTTGCTGTTACTATCTTCATTTTACTGAAGGGGAAGCTGAGGCTGAGAGGTTTAGTGACACATTGAGACAGGATTTGAACTCGTCTTCCTGACTCCCAAGTCTGGCACTCTATCCACCATACTACTGGCCGCCTTTGAGGCCCGGGCACTGGCGCAGGTAAGACATGTGGTTAATCCCCATCTCCATCATTCCAGGGTTAGGGCTGCCCCGCCCCCCCCCTCTTCCTCTGCTTGCTCCCCTATTCCACCCAGCACATAGATGACAGCAAGAAATAAAAAGGATGCAACTACCCTACACACACACACACACACACACACACACACACACACACACACAAATGAGAAATTGGGTGCGAATTTTCTTTTAAAGCAACTACAAGGAAAGTGCATATTTTTGGCTTTCTAAAAGTATATTCCTTTCGGAAAAGGGCGGGGAACAAGGGAACTTAATTCAAAATGGCGAGCGCGGGTGACGTTATTCCTCTTCCTTCAGTTCAAAACCAAGGAGCACAACCAGGTGAGGGCGGAACCGAAGCTTACAGCACCTCCCTAAGAGCAACAGCGAGCTCTCTCCTCCGAGAGGAAGGTGAAGATAATGGGCGGAAGCGTCCGCCCTGGAAACTCACTAAGGGCGGAATTCTCCCCGCACACACACTTTTAAGGGCGGAAGGGGCCTTCTCTCTGGGATGTGCTCGAGCCCTGGAGGGTCTTCAATCACTTCCGGGAACAGACTGGAAGTTGCTTTGTTTTGCTTCAAGATGGCGGCGGGAATGTACTTGGAGCATTATCTGGACAGTAAGAGGTTGCGGGTGTTGGGTCGGCAGCCTTAGCGCGGGTGCAGGGCCAAGCCGAGATGGGACATGCGCACATCGGTGGGCCCGCGGGGGAAGAGAGACGACTGAAAAGAAAGGGGAGGCGGGGAGGGGAAGGGGGGGGGGGGGGGGGGGGTGCGGGACAGCTGATGGATGTCAGCCCCGGGAGGGGCCGCTAAGGTGGGCTTGATCGTTTTGGGTTAGAGAGAAGTTGAGGAGTGTCGCTTGGGCAGGGGGCAGGGGGCAGGGGGATTGTCATAGACTCTGACTGCCGGGGGACACTTAATCCCAGGTTGGGTGCACCGTCTTGATCTGGCCTGGCCAGGTGTCCCGCCTGTCAGCAGGTCTGTAACCAAGAAATTCACTGACCTCCTTTTTCTTAGAGGAATAGACCCTCCAGTGGCTCCTCCCTCCAGCCTGTCCACCCTCCCCTTTAAGTGACTGAAGGGAGGACAGTAACTACCACAGAACTCCTTTCCTCCTGGATCTGAGACCCTGTTCCCACCAAAAAGGACCTGGTGCTAGTCAGGTTTGATTGATAGGATTTTTTGTAATTAATCCTTTGCTGCCAGGTTTGGACCACTACTATTATTGACACAGTTCAAGGTCCTATTGGAGGTTTTGTAGATTGTGGGGGCACAGTGGAACCCTGTGACCTCCAGCAATTCACAACCTCTTCTTCCCCTCAGGTATTGAAAACCTCCCCTTTGAGCTCCAGAGAAACTTCCAGCTCATGCGGGACCTAGACCAGAGAACAGAGGGTGCGTACAGACCAAGGTGTACATTTATCTGTGTCTGGAGTGAATGATTATTTATTCTTCAGTTTGGTGTTTGCTTGTACAGTCTGATACAGGGTATTGTTGCTTCTCTGTTCACCTTACCTGCTGAAATTTATGAAGGGAGGGTAATGGTAGCCTAGGTATCAGCACAAATTTTTCCTCAACAAATGAAGTATTGAGGAAAGAGCTAAAGAGTTCAAAGACACTATCCTCATTACCATCCTCAAGAAGAAAGTCAGAAAATCTTATGGTTTCAACTGTAGTTTCATCTCTTTGGGGGTATAGCCCTTTCCAGAATACTTCTGCTACACTTCATTATCAGTCATACTGCCACAGAATTCACAGTATGGCTTTGACTGCAACTCATGTTGGCAGACGTAATCTTTGCTTCATGGCAAATACTGAAAAAAATACACAGAGATTAACAACAAGACTTCTACACTGTATTCTTCGACCTTACAGAAGTATTAAATATCATCTGTGGACCTGCACTCTGGCAACTCTTGAGCAAGTTTGGCTGCCCTGAGAAATTCCCTTGGAGCCTGAGGCTACTCCCCGATGGTCAGGTTGGTCTCATCAGAGTTGATAGTGCCTTATCAGGTCCATTTCCCCCTCATCACTAGAGGATTGTGTAATAGGTACAGTCTTTTCTCTTTTGTATAGTCCTGCTCAAAGAAATATAACAACAAGTGATCTGCAAACTAATGACTGAGTCCCATTGGGAAGGTCTTCTTAGTAAATTCATCACAAAATCAAAAGTCCTGGAAATGGTCATCCAGGAGCAGCCGAATGCTGAGGATTGACTTGTTTTCTCTGTAATCCAGTCCCAACTTTTGAAGTGCACACAACAAGAAGAGATGTCAGAGAACATGTCATTGTTTGCATGCCTTATAATATGTTTTTTGGGAAACTGGCAGATGAAATGTAGTGCAAACATAGAATGAATCACCATACCACACTGAAGATCTACAGAGCAGTGGTTCTGCCCAGATTTGTACAAGACCTGGACCTGTTATAGTCAACACAACCAATCTCAAGCAGTTTCATCAACAGTTTCAATGAGCTCTGCCAAGCAACAAGTGACAAACCAGGATCATCAGTAATAAATTGGAATACCACCAGTCTCCAAGCCAGTTTGCTTTAACACATTCTAGTTGGCCTAGGTGATAGGGGACAATAGAAAGCCTAACCAGGTCACTGAAAGGTTAGCTGAAGTAGGGTGGGAAGCAGGTTGAGCAGAAGATAGACATTCAATAAGGCATAGACATCACTGAGGAATAATAGTGGATGGATCAATAACAGCTTGACCCAGGGTAGGTAGTTTTTTGAGAAAAGACACAAAGTAGCTGTTGAGGCATGCAAACAGTGACAGGCCTTGTGAACAGCATCTATAGCTACCAAAAACTTAGAAGTATACTTAGGATATGAAGGCAGTAGAAACGGAGATACCATCATATTTAATTTCAGCTTCCTCTATACATGGTGGGTAGAAATGCTGATGGCATCACCTTTGGTTATCAGTCAGATGGGGTGTTACATGCTCACACATCTTGAATATGTAACTCTGGGAAGGTCACAACTTCCCAATGCTCTACATGCTAACCTGCATTGGTAGAGGGAGTTTTCTCATGTGGGAGTTCCCAATACCAGTAGAGCCACACATCTAGTCCATGTAGCATTTCAACCCCTCCTTAAATATTCTGTGCATTTTAATTTGATGAGGGCCTAGGGGGAATATGTTCAATCAACTATTTGGGGGGTGGGGGGCATTGTGACCAGGCCTCTGTCTTTATTGTAGACCTGAAAGCAGAGATTGACAAGCTGGCCACTGAGTATATGAGTAGCGCCCGCAGCCTCAACTCAGAGGAAAAGCTGGCATTACTTAAGCAGATCCAGGAAGCTTACGGCAAGTGCAAGGAATTTGGGGATGACAAGGTGCAGCTCGCCATGCAGACCTACGAGATGGTATGGCCAAGATCCACATGTTCCTCTCTACCTTTCTGCTCACTCCCGTGGGTCTTAAGACTTCTCAACTGTGTTGGGAGTTTTCATAGATTTGGGGACTTTGTGGAATCTGTTTTGGGTCTATAATTTTTTTTAAGGCAATTGGGGTTAAGTGACTTGCCCAGGGTCACACAGCTAGTAAGTGTCAAGTGTTTGGTCTGAGGCTGGATTTGAATTCAGGTGCTCCTGACTTCAGGGCAGGTGCTCTATCCACTGCGCCACCTAGCTGCCCCTTGGGTCTATAATTTTCCTTATGAAAGTTTCATCCTTCCCATTCTCTTATCTCCCTGCCTTCTCTTCTTCCCCTCAACCTTCTCCCAGGTGGATAAACACATTCGAAGACTGGACACGGATCTAGCCCGCTTTGAGGCTGATCTGAAAGAGAAACAGATTGAGTCAAGTGACTATGACAGCTCTTCCAGCAAAGGAAAAAAAAGTGAGGAGGATGGGACAGGGCTCTGGGTAGTAGAAGCTTAATAGAGGCAGCATATTATAATGAATTTGGAGTTAGAAGACCTAAGATCAGATACTATCTGCCAGTCACTACCTATATGACCTTGGGCCTCAGTTTCCTTATTAGAAAAACTGGGCTAAGGGGATTGGGTTGAGGTAAATGATTTTTTCTTCCATCTCTAAATTCTATGATTCTAAAAGAATAAGAAGGAGGATAGTTGGGTCAGAAGGAACAGAAAAGCCAAATATGGCTTAACCCATCTTTTGGTCTCCTTGCCCCCTGGCTTTTCCCCTCTTTCCTAGAAGGCAGGGTTCAGAAGGAGAAGAAAGCTGCCCGTGCTCGTTCCAAGGGTAAGAATTCAGATGAGGAGGCTCCCAAGGCTGCCCAGAAGAAGCTGAAATTTGTGCGCACGTGAGTTAGAGTCTTAACAAAATCCTTACCTCTGTTCCTCCATGTCTTCTACCTTTTTTTTTTTCCCTTACATAGTGGCCCAATACTTGTGGCTAGAAATGAGGATAACTTCTCCCTAACTCCATCCCCATCCTAAATCCTCCCATTATATCTGAAGGTCATAACATATGCCATTACCTCTGTTTTTTAGAAGCCCTGAGTATGGTATACCCTCAGTGACTTTTGGCAGTGTTCACCCTTCAGACGTGCTGGATATGCCAGTGGATCCCAATGAACCTACCTACTGTCTTTGCCACCAGGTTTCCTACGGGGAGATGATTGGCTGTGATAACCCTGATGTGAGAGCTGGTTTGCCTGTGGGATGGGATGCTAAGGAGGGGTGATGGAGGGAGGGGTGAGAAGAAGGCTGAGACTTCTTTCCCACAAACACTGAAACAGACCTTGTTAGGAAAACATTCTCTTTATCTGCCATTTCCTTTTTGGAGGATGTTACTTTCTAAAAGGGTGAGAAGGGTACTGGTTAGATGAGTAGAAAGACAAAGATGAACTGAACTCTGAAGCAGTTTAATGCATGAAATGTAGTCAGAATCAGCCTTGCCCTACCTAGTTTTCTTGAGGATCCTTTGTAGGGGAGGAGGAAGATAGGAGAGAGGTGTAGAGTAAGTGAAGGGAATTCTGACTCCCTCCCTATAATTTTCCTTCCTCTTCCCACCTTCTTTCAGTGTTCCATTGAATGGTTCCACTTTGCTTGTGTCGGATTAACAACCAAGCCTCGAGGGAAATGGTGAGTGTATGGCTAAGGGCAGCCTGAGTCTGAGCTTTGGATTAAATTTGAGGAAAAGTTTCTCCCCAAATTTCTTTAACCTATCTGCTCCTCTTTGCCACCTCCTCCCTAGGTTCTGCCCTCGGTGCTCCCAGGAACGGAAGAAGAAATAAACAAGGGCCTCGGATGCATCATAACAGTTTCATCTCTTCTCCTCACCTTGGCTGGGGCATGGGGTGGAGATCCCTGTGTTGGGGTGTTGGGACTCAGGGAGAGAAGGAGACTGGTACGGAGAAGTCACTCCCTTCTCCCCCTGCCTGCCCCACACACATACACACTCTTGGTGCTGAGGCTGCATCTGAACTGCAGTAGGGCGGGTGGTATGTGCCCTCCTTTAGAACATCACCTTCTCCTACTTGGGGTTGGTGGAGGAGGGGTCATCCCCACTTCCTCTTTGCCTCCATGCTGAGGTTGGTGCTGTATCTTGGAGGGATACCTTTTTACTTCCTTCACTGTGTATATAGGGGCTGGGACAGCAGTACAGGGGTGCCTTCCTTCCCCCCCATGGTGGGGGCTATGGTATGTTGATCTTCCTTCTCCCCCTGGACTTCATCTTTTTGTAGGGCCCTTTCTGTAGGGTCACCTTCTACCCTGTGGCAGGGGAGTTTTTAGGCCTGTGTGTATTGGAGGGAGGTAGAGACCTCCTTTGTAAGGGAGGAGTGGGTGGGAGAATAAAAGTCATGAAATCTGGCCTGCTGTATTTATTGAGAAGGAGAAGTTAGGAATATGGGCCATTGTGACACCTGACTTCCTCCTTCACCCCTCCATTTATTGCCCCATATGCTTTTCCAGGTCCTGGAGCTACCTTGATTTCAGCCTTTTTCACATCCTCAAGCCACAGAAGGAAGAAGAACATGACTTCACATTCCTGTGCTTTGCTATCCTAAAAGCTTATGTTTATTTAGTTCCTTGCAATATATAACTTCCCATTGACATAGGGCATTTATTGTCTGTTATTGATAAGGAAACTAAGGCTTAAGTTAAATGATTTGCCCAAGATCACACTGCCAGCAACTGGCAGAGCCTCAAGATATGAACTCAGGCCTTCTGATTCAGTTCAGTGACCTTCCCACTACATTGGACTCCCTTTCTGTAACTTAGCTTAATAATGTGTTTAAATAACTCAACGCTAGCCCCCTAAGGCTAGGGCAGATCCCATCCAAAATACCACATAAATGTGTTACTCAATAGAAGTAGCATGGTACGGTCTTGGGAAGACCCAAGTTCAAATCCCCCTCTGAGACTTGTTAGCTCCATGATCCTGAATGGGCAAATCACTTACCCTCTTTTTTCATTGAACAACTTCCCAGGACATCATAAACTGCTTGTGATATGGATTGGTGGAGGGGAATATATTTTCAAAGTTAAAACATAAGTGCTTTCTGTAAGACACTGTACTAGGTTTGAGGGACACTGGCAAATGAAACTGTCTCTGCTCACAAGGAGTTGTATGTTCTACTGAGAATGTAATAATAGTAGTTCTATAATACTTTAAAGTTTGCAAAGTGATAAATATACACATATATACATATGTATATTATCTCAGATCCTCACAACTATGAAGTAAAGCACTGTTGTCCTTATTTTACAGATGATTTTGCAGGTAATTTTACACACTAATTGGCTTGCCCAGAGTCAGAGCTGGCAAATGTGAGACAGGATTTGAAATCAGGTCTTCATGAATCCAAGTCCATCACTCTAACCACCTAATTGTCTCCGTACAAATATATTTTGACAAAAGAGAAGATAACTGGGGATCACTATGGGCTTCATAGAGGCAGTGGCACCTGAACCGAGCTTTGAAATAAAAGTGGATGAGAGAAATTAATAGCTATTGTATACCAAGTATGGGGAATACTTGCAAGTACCCAGTCGATGAAATACTAAGTTTGGCTCAGAGTATAGTGTGAAGGAGAGTAATACAATATGAGGGAAGGCTAGAAAGGTAGTTTAGGGCCAAATTGTGAAGGTCTTTAAATGCCAGGGCACTGGGGTATTTTATCCTGGATGTAAATCCTGTTGAAGATATTTGAGCAGGGGATGAAATAGAATCGTGCCTTATGAAGATTGTTTTGGTAGAGCATAATGTCAAGAGGAAAAAGGCTGGAAGTAGGAAGGGCAGTCAGAAGGCTGTTGCAATGGAAAGCAACGAGGGCCTGAGGGTCCATGTGGACATAGCATTGGCAAGACCTGGCAAGTGATTCGATATACGTTGCGAGGGCAGAGGAGAGGCCAGAGATGACTCCGACTTTAAGACCTTGGCCCCGAGTATGGCAGCGCTCTCAACCAAAAGAGAATCCCTCCAATTACAATTTGTATGGATTACCCTACCTTCTCAGTTCTAATTACAATTCTTCCCTGCCCCTCCTCTCATTCCCACAGCCTTCGGGCTCCGCCCTTTACAGTGAAACCCACTTCCTTCTCTTACGAAGCAGGGTCAGGTTTCCCTCCTCGACCCCTCAGTTCCCGGCCACGCCCTAGTATGGCCTGGGCCGGGCGCCTTCCCGCCCTACTCCATCTTCCCCAGGCCAAGCCCTTCTTTCTTGTTTCGCCCCTCCGGGGACGGGGGGGGGGGGGGGGGGGGGCGGCGCCGTTATGCGCCAAGGGGCGCCGGCCCCGCCCCCCCCCCCCCCCCCCCCCCCCCCCCCCGCCCCCCCGCGTCTGGGGGGCGGGCGCCCGGGGGGGGGGGGGGGGGGGGGGGGGGGGGCGGGGCAGCTTCTTTATGCTCCAACAGGCCCCGCCCCCTTCCGCCCTCACCGCTCTCGAGACTCCCCCTGCCTCCTAGGCCACGCCTCTAGTTCTCCTAGGTCCCGCCCCGCCCCTTCTAGGCCCCGCCCACCATACGCGCTCGATTAGGGGCCGGTTGAGGGCTGGCGGGTGAGGGAGGAGGCTAGCGTGGGCGTCGAGCTTCCAGAGCCATGAGAAGCCAAGCTGTTGGCCTCCTCCTCCCACTCCTGGCAGGTGAGGCCTCCTCTTTCCTGCAGGAGAGCCTCCCTCTGCGAAGATGTCCGCTGATACCCGCCGGCCCCTCCATCACCGCTCTGGAGAGCCCCGAGAGAGCTCTGCCCCTTGAATCCCTGGATCCTCCCCTAGCGGTCCCGCGACCTCTCCCCATTTGCTCTTGATACCCAGTGCCCCTAGTCTCATCTTTGGTGCTACTTTCTTTCCTCTGGAGGGTGAGGCTTAGGCTCCCCCTAACTAGGCCTAGGGTGTGCCTTGGGGGCAATAGCGAGGAGTCCTGGGATTTTTTCCCCTCCTCTGTCCATTGACTCATCTTCTACCATTCTATTCAACTACCATGCCAATCCATCAATTCATCCAACCATTCTGTCATCCGTCGTCCGTCCTATCCATTCATCCCTCTATCCACCCCTCAGTCATCCATCATCTGTCTCTGTCCCTGCCCGCAGCGATCCTGCTGGCCTCAACACCTGCCCCATTCCCGGCCGCAGACGCCGCTATCTCTGGCACTCCGCTTTCTCCAGCCGAATACGAGACCTTCTTCTCAGCGCTGACTCCATCCTGGAAAGCAAAGACTGCCTGCCGCCTCCGGGCAACCCAGGGCTGCCAGCACCACAAACTTATTCAGTTGGACCAATATGAGAACCACGGCGCCCTGCCCGAGGGTGAGCTCCTGCTTGGCCTCTAGGCAGATGAAGACTAAGGGAAACTGAGGCATTGGGGGGAAGTGAGGGCTGGGGGTACCAACTACCCAGCCCTGCCTTCCTCTCTCTGGGGAAAGGAGGAGGGCTAGGGGCATTACACCGAGACAGTAACTCCTCATTCCTAAGATGGGCAGGAATGATATTTTCTCTTCTGCTCACCACTTCCAACCCCCTATTCCCTAACCCCCAAAACCTAAATCCCCAGGCTCTGTCTGCACAGACCTGCCTTATGCTTCCTGGTTTGAGTCCTTCTGTCAGTTTACCCAGTACCGTTGCTCCAACCGACTCTACTATGCGAAGGTGAGGTTGGAGGGGAAAAAGTCTTTATGTCCAGGGGTGAAATTAAGAGAAAAGGCAGAAGTTAAGGTGGGAATTGGAACTCATAGTGGGAGTAAGGGCAAATCTGGGAAAGGGCATAAGTTCATAGCCTGATATTTTGCAAATTGCTTATACATCGTAAATACGATGGTGTTTATTGTGTATTCAAGCTGCATTCAACAACCCTGTTAACTTGATAGTGTCAGAGATGGAAGCTGGGAAGAGAAGCAGAAATAGGGAGGGAGAGAGTGGACCTAGACAGAGCCATTTTTTTTTTCTGTTTCTCTAAAAGGCTCCCAGTGATCTATTAAAATGATAAGCTACAGAATATATAGGTGTAGCTCAGACATACCCCTACACTAACAGCAGGGAATCCCTTCTGAGAATTTGGCCTTCTGAAAGGATCCCCTCTTATTTATCACAGCCTAGCACCTATTGGGGGGACATATCGAGAAGGGGCTGAAGAATAAGAAGGGGGTGGGGCAACAGTTTGGGGAAGCCATCCCCAGTCTTCTACAGAGAGTCTTGTGCTCCGAATCACTCACCGTCTTTTCCATTTGCAGAGGATCTCGTGCTCCCCATCACCTACACCTCTCTCATCTCCTGAGAACTTTATCAAGATGGACAGCACAACAGTCCCTGCTAGCCTGCCCCGTGTCATATCAGGTGAGCTCCCTCAAGCAGCCATGAAGATTTTGATCTCATCCTCAGTAAGGGAGCAGAATTCGTGTCTGCTGGTAGAGCTACTGTGGATATGTATGTAACCCCCATCCTTTGGTATGAGACTATCTCCTCATTCGTGGGGATCAATGCCCTACACCTGTGTGAAGGGCAGGGCAGAGTTGGCAATATCAGGAGAGAAGGGAGCTCTACTCCCATCAGACTTTCTTTGAGAGTCTTTTTGAGTCTTTTTGGATTCTGCGGTGGTTAAGGCTGCTTCTGGCTTCCAGCTTCAAGAAAGAAGGTTGCTGAATAAGACTCTGGGAAGAAGCTGACATGAGAGGAGCTAGCAATCTCCATCATGTCCTTATCACCAGCTTACTATACTTGAGACTTCAGGAAGTTTCCCCTTGGGTGAGGTCTGGAATTCTCTCTCTTGGTTGAGCTGAGTTCACCTTGCTCCCAATGGAAAAGTGCCTTCGCTCAGTATTGTCTGGTATATTTTCTCATATATACTTTCTCTGATTTCTGTGTTACTCTCAACTTGGATAAGTGAGTTTCTTTGATAATCACTATGTGTGTTCATTGTGGAAATGGTATTTGGTGGGAAAGGGGTCAAACCTTGGATATAAACCTTGGAGTCCTTTCCCCATTAAGAAATAGCAATCAAAAGTTTAGCTTGAACTTGAAAATCACATCCCCCAGATTAATAATATTAAGGAAGTAGATAGATATAACTCTAGCCCAGTACCTCCTCTCTATGAGGAAAGCAAAGTGGCCAAGCTTCTGACTCCAACCTCTTGCTTCTTCTCCTGGCAGAAAATAGTTTCCCTTGGAGAAGAGTTGGGGGAGAAGAGGCTAGAGATGTCTATTCTGCTTTCCTTCAAGCCATAAAATGACACCCTTTATGTATGTATGTTGTGTTCTGTGTATGTATATGGTTGGCCTTATGGGTAGGCAATAGCTACCCCCAAAGTCTTTTTTCTTCACCTGCACATTCTACCCTTGGGAAGTACAGCATCTTAAGGTACACCTTCACCTTGGTTCTTTGTTTTGTTTTTGTTTTTAAAACTTTTTTTCCAATTAATAAAAATCTTTTTTCTGCTTTCTTATACACACATTTTAAAAAAGAAAGAAAAACAAAACCTTTGTAACAATAAATTCCCACATTAGTCAAATCCAAAAAATATTTTTCTCATTCTGCATCCCGAGTCTATCACCTTTCTCCCACCATAAGTCCTTTGGAAATCTAGCTGGTTAGTGCAGTGTTGTGGTTTGTCCTTTGTTCTCAAAGAGGACCGTGACATCAGGAAGGAGATGTCATGACTTGCAATTAAATTGGGTTTAAATGAGGGAGGGCTGTGCAAAGTCACCAGCCTCACTTTCTCCTCTAGAGCCATCTGGGTCCAATGGCCAAATATAGATCACGACAACTGGAGACAGCCCAGAGTACAGTAGTCAGAATTCTAAAATCCTTCAAAGTTGTTTGTCTTTACAATATTGTTGTTGTTGTGTAAATTATTCTCTTGGTACTGCTCACTTCACTTTGCAGCAATTTATATAAAAGTTCTCAGGTTTCTTTAAAACCATCCCTCCATCATTTCTTGCAGCATAATAGTATTCCATCACATTCTTATGCCATAACTTGTTCATCCATTCTTCAATTAATCGATACTCCCTCAGTTTCCAGGTCTTTGCCCACACACACACACACACACACACACACACACACACACACACACACAC